CATTTGCATAGGGACGCGCGCGGCGCCGGAGCGGGAGGGGCGCGGCCGGGGAGGCGCTGCGCGCGCGCCCTGACAGCTCGGCCCCGCTCGCTCTCTCGCTCGTCCCCGGCTTCCGAGCACAGCATGGCGGTCAAGGTGACTCCAACTCTCCGCCGCTGCCTTTATTGCATAGGAGACAGTCAGAGGGTCCTGCCTGCAGCCCCCGCACCGCTTGCCATTTCCTTCTTTGCCTCCTTCTTAGCTAGCGCGTCCTGGGGCTCCAGCTTGCGGCTGCGGAGCTCGCGGGCTGGGACCGGAGGGAAGAGGATGCCCGGCTGGGGGAGGGGAAGGGGCGGGCTTGTAGGTCGAAGGGGCTGCTGAGGACCACTGGTCGGTGAAGGAGGAGTAGCGCCCCGTCCTAGACCCGTGGGAGTGTGAGCCCGGACTTGGAGAGCAAGTGGCAAGAAAAGCCGGGGCTACCTAGGGCATCAGTGTTTTGCGGTGGGGGAGGGGGTGAGTATTGGGTAATTTGGGGCCTCCTTGCAGCGGGAGGGCCGTGGTGGACATTTGCGTCGCAGGTTGTAGGGTGTTAAAAGTAATTTATTTGTGGCGGCTGTCATATTTTGGTTGGATGAGGAAAAAGAGGGGCGTCGAGATAATCACACGCTATTATTGGTTTTCATCCGGGAAGGAAGGCTGCTGCTAGGCCATGCTGTTAATTTGGATATTTTAAATCTCCTGTTGCTCCACTCCTGCGGGCCTCCTCACTTGAAGCTTGGTAGTTGCTACTGTGTTGCTAGTAGATGTGGAATAAAGTAGCCCTGCCTTTGCGGTCAGGGGACGCGCTGCCTGTCACTTGCCCTATCTCAGGCTACTCACGCAGCTCTTTCCCTCTCCAGCCACAGATCTCCAGTTTGACAGTTTTATCAGCAGTTATGGCTTTTGGGTTGTTTTAAATAACCTTCACACGATAAGAACATTGATTGTTAGCAGATGTGAACTATCAAGAGATTGCATTGGTCTCTAGTGAAGCATTAACTAGCTCTTCCTCCTCCCTGCTTTCAGGTGCAGACGACCAAGCGAGGTGATCCTCATGAGTTAAGAAACATATTCCTACAGGTAAATCAATTTTAGTGTATTTTTTTTACTGAAGGAAGAAAAGAGGGAGGGAGGAAGAAAAGAGGGAGGGGGGAAGAAAAGAGCATACAATATTTTGTTCTTTTCAAGCCTTAACTTTGAGGAATATCCTGTTTTCATCTATTTTTGCAAACATGGCTGGACAACATTTAAAATTTTCTTACTAATGTTTGATTAAAACTTTCCTTTATATTAAGGGTTAATGAATGGTTTTCTTGAGACTTGCTTTTCCTTACATGACTTAAGATATGTAAAAGTAGACTGAAAAAGACTTCCAGTTTCTCATGAGTACTAAGACTAATATTTCAAAATGTATTTGCCCTTTTTGTACAATGGATAGATGTGGTAACTAAAATGCTATCCTTTTTAGAAGTTGCAGTTTGCCTACTTGAGAACAATAATTTGTTCTTAATAATTTGTTCTCCATATAATTTGTTACAGAAATAGTAAGCTAAGAATAATATAACTATTTTATACCTATGGCCCTTTGGAGATTGATTATGCAATGTTGCTCTCTAAAATTCTTGCAAGGATCTAAACTGCTAAGCTTTTAGGATTAGTGACTTGGCTGTAGTTTTTTTTTTTTTTTTTTTAAGTTGGCTTAGTTTTTTCATTTGCTTTCTTTTAAAAAAAATTCTAAAGTTTTCTATGGAGGAAGTTCTACTTAAATAAATGTAAAGGTAGATGAACTGAGGTGTTTTCACTAAACATTTTTCTCTGAAAATTTCTTTTGAGAAATTTTATTCTGGATTTGAGTTTTTGTGCAGATACTTTAGCCTTCAGCAGATTCCTGCTGGGTATTATTTTCCTCTGTAAAATGAAAGGTGACCTCTAAGTTTCCTTCCACTTCCAAAAGTCTATGATTCTATAATTAGGAACAGATTCTAACATATGCTGATGAGCCTAGAATAGATGACATTTTTATCTAAGATGTGGCTTCCTTAGACTATTGTTGGGAGGAGGCTGTGTAGATGGCCATATGTTAGTAGAGTTCATGAAAAGGAATTAGTTAAGACTGGAGGTCTAGCTCAGTGGTAAGTGCATGCCTAGAATACACAAGGCATTGGTTTGATTCCCAGCACTACAAACAAAACAAAACAGAATTAGTAAAAATGGGAATCTTAACTTTTATAAAATCTATTAAGGGAAGTATATTTTCTACAACAAGAATAATTATAGTGAACCACCCCATATGTGGCTTGAAATCTTTTTTTTTTTTTATAAGCTAGCTAGCTTGTTTGCTTGCTTGCTTGCTTGCTTGCTTGCTTGCTTGCTTGCTTTCTTTCTTTCTTTCTTTCTTTCTTTCTTTCTTTCTTTCTTTCAGATAGGATCTTGCTGTGTAGTTCAGTCTGGCCTTGAGTTCACTATATAGCCCAGACTGGCCCTGAACTCATGACAGTCCTCCTGCTTCAGCCTCCCACGTGGAATGCTAAGATTACAGATGTGCACCACCACACCGGGTTCTTCACAAATGTTCTTGAGCATATCCCAAAATATAGCAGCGCTAACGATGTCATATGATCAGACTCAGTTGTTTTGTGAGTTCATGTGATAGTTAATTTTCTTTTCTAGATTAAGTAGCATGGGAAAAATCAGTTGGAATGTTGTTTAATGTAGCAAAGAAACTATTGACTCAGGTATCAGGAATGCTGGCTTAATTCTGAGGCTTGAATCTGTCTGGCTGTTGTTCTGTAGGCTAATTATTTAATCTTCCTGATTTTATCTCCTCCTGTGGACTCAGTAGGATATAAATGAATTAGGTCCTTCCAGCTGTAAATAATCTGTGGAGAAAAACTTTGTAATTCTGTGTGTGTGTGTGTGTGTGTGTGTGTGTGTGTGGTACTGGGGATTGAGCTCAGGACCCTGCACTTGCCAGACAAGTGCTTATTCTGCTGAGCTCTCTAGGAGCTGGGGAGATGGCTCAATAGAATAAGCACTTCCCTGACAAGCACAAGGGCCTGAGTTCAATTCCTGGTTCTGAAAAACGAACAAACTTTATAATTCTTCTTCTTTTTTTTTTAATAATTCTATATGGAATTTTGTTTTGTTTTGTTTTTGGATTTTTTACCAGAACAGTGGTTGGAAGTACAAGGAGAGAAACCAGGAGTGTGCTTTGCTTTTTGAGAACCTATAAATCTTTACATTCCATTTAATGTTTAGCATATCAGTGTCTTTTTACATATTATAATTTTAATTTTTTGCAATATTGGAGATCAAAGCCAGGGCCTTCCACATGCTCACTTCACAATTGAGTTATGTCCCTGGCCTCTTTCACGTTGTTTTAATGATGCTGATTCTTGTATTAAAAAATTGTGGAATTTATAACTCCATAATTAACACTAAGTGTAGAGCCCTGATTGAAGCATTAATAGATAAGAGAAAGATAGAACATAGACATTTATCTTCAGGAAGATACAAAGTAGCTAGAAAGATACAAGGTAAGTAGGTAGATCCACTGGAGCACAGTTACCAAGTATTACATTAGAATTTTTTTTTTTTT